AATTCCATGGACGCAAAAAACCTCACGGGCAAGACGCAAGCAGACCTACGCTCAAGGTTGCTGTCGATTGATCTACACTAATCCTGTTTAGTTAATATTACACTGTTGACTCAGTTTATATATTTGGTCGTGTACATTGCTGACTCAAGCTGCTAGGGCATCGACTTCACGTCGTCTTATACAGATCGAACTTTCGTTGCTTATTTCCAAGTTGATCAGCATCAAGAAGCAGAGGTGTAAACCGATTGCCATAGAAAGGGAAGTCGTGAGCTTGAGGCAATTTTAAGGCGCATTCAGAGACTTGCGTTTGCTTTCGACAAAGTTATTTTAATCTCCTGCAACGAGAAAACACATTAGCAAGCTGCCGCCCTCTGAAAGGACCTTGGAATCGTATTTCACTAGAGCGAAGGTTTTGCGATATTTGCGCGATAAAATGTTGCTACTATCTGTGAGAGATCGTCGTTTATACCATTTTCGAAAATTTTTCAAGCCAAGACAAAACAAAGAAAGATGCGAAAGAAATATATATATGGAAATGTCAAGTGTGCCGACTACCCTGTAGATGGCACCAGTGTAATGGCGCGTCGTAAAATAGTTGAAGAGGTTTTAACGCACATGGTCGTAACTTGTAGTGCATGTGTGAAACAGCACTTTACGGTGCTCTTTTCGTTTGGCCGTTGCAGTATCGTCCAGTTGTCGTGTTGCACATTAATGAAAATTTAGTGTATGAGGGGCAACAAATGCATAATAAACGCTAGAAGCTAATTACCCCGAGACTCATCGTACTATGAGCGATTTACAAAAGGGTACTGAACGCTAAGAACGAAATAATCAAAAGAAAAGCCTAGGTATTCGTAATTATAAAAGGAGCCCGTGGAAAAAAATGCAAATCCGCATTAGCAAAATTAAGTAGTATTCCGGAGACGAACAACTACACAATTCTTTCGAGTGAGAGTCTCCGTCTCGCTAAGCTTGTCAATGTGACAAAAGAACAGTTCGTCGGTCGCCAGTATTTCTAACCGAAGGTTTCAGCTAAGCTCAGTGAGCGAGCGCCACACCGGTCCCACGTTTCGCCACACACACGCACGGACTAAAACCGTAAGGTCACGGCGTGTTCTCAGCGCCTGATCGGAATAGCCGTCGATGCCTCTCGAAACTAGGGACTACAAGCACAGTGGCGTTGCGTTGCCGGATGTGCCTGATTGGTATACTCTCGTCTCGTATGGCGTCGGCTGCGCTCTGGCTGATGGTGATACCAAGTGAAGATACTTAGAGTCAATGACAGCTGGAGGAACGCAGAGCGCGGTCTATTGTCTTCGCGCTTCTTGCTTTGTGATTGGTTCTTCGGCGGTTTTTATCGTGCAATGGAGCGATCTCATTGGCCGCTGAACAATGAGAAGATGCACGGAACTCGCCACGATCTGCGTTTCTTTGTGGGACGCTTGCAATGTTGAAATATGACGTAGTTGGGTTGGGCGACAAAAACTACAGTAAATAATTGAAGCATAACTACAAAGAAAAAGTATATCCAAGAAAAAGGTAGAAGTATTGGCACAAACGCCTTGATTTCTGGCGCTTTCCAGACGGCAAATAAAGATATTTGATGTTTTCCCCGAACTCAGCTACGTCGGAATTCGACATGGCAGCCGCTACGAAGTAACAGTCCATGCAGGGAGAAAGAGGACGTTGCGACAAAGCCATTGCAGGCCACGTAATATAAGGCAATGTGGAGTTGCGTGAGTAAAAAAAGTGTCATCGCTGCGCACTATAATAATTTTGCGCGTGCTCGTTGAGGGCAGAAAACTGAATTAGCATCTGCAGAAGCCCTTTGCACGCCAGTAGGTGTTGGCCTCTGCGATAGCACTGATCGAATTGCCTGTTTACAAAGACAAGCGAAACTTGGCCGTTAAAGTTTGCCCAGAATATCACTGCTAGTTTGTATGCAACGCGTCCGCAACAATCGACGAGTTACCTCAGCCAACTGCCGCGGTTTGTTACCCCCTCCCTCCCTTTTTAATTTACCCTAGTTGTTTCGTTCCTCTGTGTGATAGAACTCGACGATTCCATGCTCTCAGTCGAAAAATATTGATGTGATGAAGTACGGTGCAATTTTTGGTACGTCATGACATTTAGAGCGAAGAGTAACTCTCTCGATTGAGTTAGGAAGAAAGAAACTGCGTGCACGAATGGCATACCCGTTCGTTCTGAGGCATAGTCACGGTTAGCTCCGCAGTTTACGCGAAAACAGACCACTGAAGTCGTCGTAAAACGCAATTCTTATTTATGAAAACATAGCGAACTTTATCCATCAAAGCTTGCTAAGGAACCGGCCTGCTCCTATTGCAGCGCCGCGTATGAAAACGTGGGGCGCGGGCAAGACGGTCCACGTCCCCACGCTAAACGAAGCGCTAAAATTATTTGTTTTCAGCATACGTTTAAATCCAAGGTTGTTTCTTTTTACTTACGCATTGATGATTTTTTTTGTTATTGTTGTTCTGTAATGTATGGTTACTTCAGCAGCCTCGGTAAAACGAGTAAGCTCCTTGCGCGATACAACGTATGCCATGGCGAACGGCAATTCATTCCCGGAGAAAGAACGATAACACGGTGGCTGTGGCCACCTGTTAAAATAGTCATCACCACCTTTAAACTACTGTTTAGACCAAGTCGATTTACCCCCAAAATGTTTAAGCTTAGGCGTTCCTGGAAGCAAGCTGATAATTATTTTAGACGAGAAAGCAGAATGCGTAGATAATTGAAATCTCTACTACATGTACATCGTCGACATCGTATACGGGGTGTTGTCGCTTGAACCTGAGGACGCTCAGAAAGCAGACAGGGTGGTCCCTATCACTTGACAGAGGTCGTGCGTTCACGCTGGAACATGATAAGTAATTCTTACAACACATTTCCGTGTATTCACCCACAACAAAATGCTTGCCGAAAAGGCGATCTTGTCTCGATGGCGACGATTTCAATAATCAGTGCTCCAATCAAAGTTATCTCCTGGTAGAAGTAAAAGCAGCAAACACGTCAAAAAGCAACCTTGGCACATATCATTGCTTTTTCTCTGCAGTCTCAACCAAAAACGAATTCCGATATCTTGACAAAATTTAAGGTAATTGGAGTCTGACTGTGTTAGCAGACTATAGCTCAGAAGACGTGGGATGAAAGCACGAGCGCTAGAGCCCGTCCCTAGAATTAATTTTCACACCCATCCCTTTTCTATTTCAGATGTGTAGGAGCACCGTACCTTCGCGTCTTCGGGCGTCATTGCTATGTAATTCATGTTAAAGAACCAAGGATAGCGGTCGCACAGCACCTTCAAGATGTATTCTCTACAGCGTGAACCATTGTTGCCATACTATGGCAGACCTACCTCACGTTGTGTAAACACCTAGTGTTTAATTTGATTTTGCCGGATGGTAATAGTTTCTGCCAAAGCAAAGCAACAAAGCCTGGCTGTCTTGCCTTTTTTTTTTGTATTGTACCGTAATCTCTAAAACGAAAGCGCGTCCGATGCACCTCCCACATTGTGTGATTTGAGAGACTTGAACTAATGCAACATGCGCTTTCGTCGTCAGTACGTTCTTACGGGTTGCCCTTTGATAATATAAATAACAGCAAAATATCACTAAACATGTTTGAAAACTAATTTTGTGGAGCGAAGTATGTCGTTTGATTTCGGCACAATTACAACAGAAATGCACGTGGTCATAAATTATTTTTAAGCATATATTATGACTTCCTCGTTTTCCTTGGAGCACAATTCAGCCTGTCATTAGCATAGCTGAACTTGCCTATTGGTATATGTCCTTGGCTTTAAACAATGATTGAGTGAATGCTGTCCAAAGGGTCTTTTACATTTTTTTTTTCAAAACCTTTAGTCAAATATTTATAGTCAGATGTTATGTTTTGGGAAAAAAGTAATTCCAGAAATTTGACACAGATCATGCCAGTTAAAATGCCCCATATACGTTTTATTTGGGCAATCATTTTATAGGTTTCGCGATTCGTTAAACCCCCCCCTCTGTACCCCGATAAATTTAAATTGTGCCCTCTATGCCCTTAGGAAAATTCGACCTGGGCGGTTTCTTGATACGTTGAGTTTCGGATAGCATGTGAAGATATGGTACTGAACCATTTCTGAAAAGGGACGTTCGAGTGTTTTATTCCTTAACAGATTACGGAAATAAACGTTATGGTCAGAAGATTAGCCCTTTTATCCGATGTGCTTCTACAATCCATGCGCAAATGACAGAACCATGTGCTTAGGCGAAGACTTTCGAACATATCTAAAAATATCGCATTTGAGAAAAAAGAATGTCTTTTCCGGAACAACTGCCAACCACGGTGGACGTCAGGCATTGCAAAATCATTCTGATTAGCAAAATAATTATTCTAAGACGAGTAAGTAGCTTTCTGTTTACTCAAAAGAAACATTTTGTTCCAATTGGAAATCTTGCCGAGCGTCATGGAAAACTCATAAAAGAGTAAACTTTAGGACGACTTGAATCAATTGGGGATGCGCTAAAGTTACCACTCATGCAGCAGGCGCAACACCGGCGACGCGAAAACGAGAATTATAAAAATATCATGCGTGTTTTGCATCGCCGGCCTTGTACCTGCAGCACGAGTGGTGACTTCAGCGCACCTCCGCGCTTCCTACGTGTTTTAAGTTGTCCTAAATTTGATTAATTTTGGAGTCTCCGATGACGCACAAAAAGGTTTACAATCGAAACCATATCTTTGTTTTACAAATTAAAATTCCAATTTGAAAAAAAGTTAAATAGTTTGCGAATATGTATTTTTTCCTGACGTTTGCTGTGGCTGGCAGTTTGTTACCGAAAATATATTTATTATTTTTTCTCAACCATCCTAGTTAAAAAAAAAACTATTCACAGAAACGCGCGCTATATGTACATCACGGTCAGTTCTGTGCATGTAACCATAGAGCTGTCCTATCGACAGTTAGCTCACTGTCAACATTTTATCTGCAGATGACAATGAAGCAAGCTTTTGGATGTATGCCATGATCTCGGTCGGATCAGCCTTCGTCATCTTCGTTGCTGTCACAGTCTACCTCATGTGGTAAGTTAGCGAATTCCCTCTACTCTGTTAGAACAGTAAAAACTACATACAATTGTGTATACCCTAAAATAACTCGCAGTAAAAATACGGACTTCATTGTCTCTCTGATTATCTTCAGGAGTGTTTTGTAACGAGAAGACTCCCATACAAACTAAGCACACGAAATTCAGTAACGAGCAAGTCCGCCTCAAAATCTTTACACCAAGACTAAATTACAAAATAGTGAGCCACCATTCTAATAAACGATGTGTATCTTTTACATTTCAGCTTCTGATTTAAAGAAGTTTAGCTCTTTCTACCTTATTATTTGCTTTGTGATTGGATCCTTCCGTTTCTCAGCGGTTGATGCTGGTCATTTTGTTCCAAGGAACTCTCAGGTTGTGTGCTAGTTGAGTGATTTGGCCCCGTTTATCTTTATCTGGAGTCCTCGCAATTGCCCTACCATAGAAACTGGGATCGCTGAAAGTGTTACATGTTTCCCCTATTTTGTAGGTTTTTATTGTAGCACCATATCTATAAACGCGAACCTAATATGAGTATCACTCGTCGGAAAAGTTTTGCTCAAGCAGGAAAATCCTCGCCTATGAAAAACGGATGCTTTAATTGACATTCAGCAAAGCGTTCTTCTTGGAAGTCGGCAATTACTTAAGCGTATTTAATGAAGTGCGAAGATGTAGCAGCGCGAACTAGCTTACCGATTTAGTAAAATTAATTCACCTACACTTCCTCTCAAATGTTGTGTGAATTGTTATTTTTTTACACAAACAAAATCGTTGCAATCAGGTTTTTCTTTCTTTCACGACTGCTCGCCCGAGGCCGATATTTTTTATAGCTCATTTTAGAGCAACGGATATTTTCAACCTAAGAATTGTAATTGTAATGTCTGTCCAATACGTAAGTTATAAAATGAATTCTTAAAAGGCCAACATTAGTTTTTCCTAAGACGGATATCTCCTGCAGAGGAGTCTTAGGACCACAAAAACTCAAACACAACGACATGCATTTTGATTAGATAATTTGATTTATAAATACTCCCCACAATTTTATTTTTCCAAGCGTCATATAAAACGGCGAGAACAATTAGGAGGGGGATGTCCTTTCTTCTAGGGAATAATACAGGGTTACGCTTGTTTAACGTACACCATTTTTAAAATATGGCTTAATGCTATGTGCATGCTGTATTTTCTGTTTTTCATGAGTTCGGCAGACAATCTATGGGAGGAGAGCCACCACCATTATTGGGTTAAATAACTAACACTTGGTAATTGACTTTTTATATCAAGGTGTCATCGGTCATGTTGCAATTGCTGTAAAAAGCTTTAAGCTTGAATGGAGGATATGATGACGTCAATCTCGTTGCGCGTGCACGCGCACACGGGCGGCTGCTGACTCATGGAAAGATAGTGCGCCACTTATTATAGACACTGAAATGTTTGGTTCAGCATCCCTTCAACGTGTGTCGTTTTGTCACTTTTATTTAAAATTGGCCAAGCCTCTAATATTAATTGTCATCGATACTGCAACTGTAACATGACCCGTGAAATCACGAAATGAACGGTTATTTCAAAGATTTTAGTTAATTAACCGTATAACGGGAAGGTTATTTTCTATCTAATATCTCCAGGGTCCCATAAATATACAGAATAACAGTATAAAGAAAGCATCCATGTAAGTATCATACCTCAAAAATATGTTCACACATTCCTGATGGATGATACATATACAGGACTACATTAATCCTAAATATATCTCGACTGGCTTTGAATAGGTTATGTGTCCTGAAATTAAGTTCATACGTTAGGTGTTCGCCTAAAGTATACTTTTTAAGAACGATCAATTTTTATATGTAATGCATTGTTTTTCACACGAAGAACTTTTGGGACAGCGGTAACTGTCAGTACAGTTAACCACCCCGCTTGACCAGCACCTCATTACAGAACAAACTCGGCCATTTGCTTTTCATTGTAAAGTATCATTTTTGTAGTGTAGCACCAATTGATACAATGCCATATAGCTTAATAGCATCGCACATATTACTTATTTAATACAATACGCTGCCTGCGTTAGACACAATTGCTTCTACGCCGTGACCGACAGAAAACAAACAAGAAAACTTCTCATGGTGACTATACGGATCGGGAGGCATCAGAGGGGCTTCGCTTGTCGTTTACTATCATTTGTCTTTGTTTAAAAAGCTGAAGTGCTAGTTTCTCTAGCAAACAAGCATGAGCATTAAGGGCCAGACAATATGGAAGAAAATCACTCGCAGTGGCAAATACTGACAAACCTTTTATTAACCACTTGTTAGTGGTAGGGACGAATTTGAGATCTATATATTAAGCGCAATATTTTTCCCATTCATACTAACTTTCGCAATATATTTTTATCAAGTGCACGCGCTGTACACGACATAAATACGCTTTCTAAACGCGACTTTCAATGGTAGGACGTTCTAAAATTCAATGATGCCGCAGCAATCACTGTAAAATATCTCAAAGTCTTGGCATTTGGGAGTCTTGTCTCGTTCCTCTATGTTAAAACTGGCTTTTGCATTCCCCACTTATCCGTCCTCATAGTGTTACAATTGTGCAATATGTGGCAGGCACTTCGTCGATGGCTCAGCACAGCAACGACTTAAACTCTGTCATTTCGCGTGGCCGTTAGAACAAGCATGCGTAGAAACACGCAGGTCACGAGCAATATAACCCGCAATATAGCTACATAGCAAAGTATATATAGTTAAAAACGAAAATTGTAGCTGACTTTGCTTCTGATGGTTTGTTGAGCTATCTTTAAGAGAAAGTGAATATAAATGTTTATGCACTTGTGCGTAGTTTGCATGCACACAGCTACGTCATCTTTACTGATTAACCAGCTAACATTTTCCTTTCTGCTTTCTGTGCTACTTGCTTTGGGCATTGCAGCATCCCAGAGCGGGATTAGTGGAAACTTGGAAGAGATGTGAGTCTGAACCAACAACACTCAAAATTATTTTCAGTGTATTTAGCGGAACTGAGGTGCGTGGTGCAGTCGGTGACGTTCTGTCCGAGGAAACAAAAACAAAAACAAAACAAAAACAAAACAAAAACAAAACAAAAACGCTGCCTTCCTTTCCAATAAGGACAATGTAGCCGAATAGTATAAGTTTGCTTTGAAATAAGCAGTACACTCTTAGAAATGCCATGGGTCTACCTTCCCGCAGGCCAATCGGGGAGTCAGTGGGTGAGCGGTGGAGTCCAACTTCCGCTTCGTTAGACCGTATATTGTTTCATAGATGGAAGACGACGGTGATGCGATGCAAGTGCGGGTATAACCGAAGTCTCTATCTTTTTTTCTTTTTTTTGTTGACAGACCAAAGGCGCAAAAGAAACCAACGAAGCTGTTAAATGGCGTAGCAGAAGGAATTGGAAGGTTCTAAAAGATAGTGGACTGCCAAACATCGCTTAACCATCACTGCAATCTATGAAGGGAGCTCCGTGAAAGACGAGGCCGAAGATATCTTGGGGCCTATTAACTGTCCGCAATGTCCCACTGAGCACCACGTTTCGGGTTTTACATCACGTTAAGTGTTACATCACTGACTTTATTTTGAGGTGTAAATATATTTCCGGTTTGTAATACGCCGAGCTCACCCCGAAAATTTCAGCTCTGCAGTAAAGTAGAGGCACAAGCATTTCTAAAAGTGTACTGGAGAATATTCCGTGACACGGGGAAGAATCATTGCTGAGAAACCGCGAAGTGTATGCACAGCTTACCAGCGCTATCTAGGACCTAGAAAAATGCATCAACCAATGAGAAACGAAGGAACCACTTGCCAAGCGAAAATTAATTTTATAGTTCATCAAGCTCTGTCTTTATGTGAGCCATTGTAGTTTGCTATAATATAAGAACTGCAGGGCAGGCTCTGGTAAATGAACATTTTTGCACTCAAATTTACAAGTGTGGAAATTTGCGCGCTTTGTGGTGCCAATTTTAGAAAACAAACATGGCGCTGACGATCTCTCCTATTTGTTCTTGACGTCAGAGGATTGGTGTGTTTATACAGAATGGCGTAGAGAAACCAGTTCTGTCTGGTATTTTGAGGTCAAAGAGTTTCTTGCAGTTTTTATGTTTGCATCAGACTTAAATATTGTCTTTCAATAGAAGCCGTGAGAGTGTCGCTTGCTCTGGGGTTAGTACGCTGCGCCAATGCTGCTATTTTTGATGTCACTGTATTGACACTACTATCGCTCTAGTTTCTACGTTCTGCCTATAAACACAGTTTAGGCTACATGTTTACTCAAGTGGTACTCAAGCAGAAAACACTAGCGTGATTTGAACAACGCTAAGGTGTACGTAAAAAAAAAAAATTGGACAAACCGGGAACTTTATTAAAGTTCTACGGCCCTTATGGCAATGACCAGTGGTTCCAGATTGAGTATGTGGTTAGACAACAAAATATAAGAATAACATGTGATATAAAGCTAGATGTAACGAAGGAAGCTAAAGTAAAAATAGTGCTTTTGAACCAAGAAAACCTTAACCTCATAATCTAGCTGCATTTCGGTTTCCTTTTTGTCGAAGTAAATACTAGGGTTTTTAAGACAAGTGAACAAAAACATTTTCTTCATTCGGGGATACTAGGATTTTAACAATATTCTATTTTATATAATAAATGAGCGCGTCTACAAGTAAAGAAAAGAAGAAATCTAAATAATAGGAGGTTCTTTAAAACGTCGTGGTTAGCAAATAGCACTGTCCGCCCTGCCTCGTTTTAAAAGAGGCCTTGACATTAGAGTGCATTCAACACTGTCAGAGACGTCACCCACAGCGCCAAGTAACCAAACATATGTTGTCCTACTTCTTTTCGAGCATGAGAGTATAATCGTTGGCCGAATATTTCTGTCTCTAATTCCTTTATCTCATAGACTCACAGTTTCTTCAAGGCAGACTCGCTTAGACGAGGGCGACAATGCACCCGGAAAAGGTTTCACGATCAGTGATACGTTAACGCACTTCCCCTCATCATATGTATTTTGGCACTGATGCACTAGATTGGATTTGCGTTCGTGCCGCACTGTGTCTAGACTTAAAATAATAAAAAAAAACGTTTTTGGCGCAAATCTTGAATAACTCTACATCGGCTGCAGATCATAGACGCACAAAGCGGTTTAAATGTTGCCAATGCAAACTCAATCTAAATAAGTCGATGCGTCTACCTTCCCGCATTGTACTCAAGAAAGTGAATCACTGACTTACAGTGGTACCCGATCAAGAAAGACGGCAAACTACAAGGCTGAACAATATATCGATTTATAATAAGCTCCGCGATGTTACAAGACCATCATGCAGAGTGTCACGGCGCAGATTTTATTTCAGTGTTCAACACATTTTCAGGCCTTGCGATTCGCCGAGCTATCGCCGTATATCGCTGTCATTGGCTCTTTGAGTTATTATTGCTGTAGACGTATACTTGCGCTTCTGAAGTGCAGGAACAGATACAGAACCGACGTGATACCCGTATGGTGCAAAGCTCTCTCGTAACAAAAGTGCCTTTATTGTGATCCAAAAAGTGCACAGCAACGATCTAAGCATGTGGTCTTCTTCTTGCAGTCAGTCGTCGGTTCGTCAGAGGCTCAAGTCGACGTACTCGTTCAGCTCACGGCACAGGTCCAACTCTTCGGCAACGAGTGCCGCTTCTAACCTGGTTCGCAGTAACGTGTGCTGTGCCTACGAACCGGCTCCCACGTCATCGTCTACGGCCGCGTCTACAACGCACCTCTACTAAGGACACGCTGCTTCGCCCTGAAAGGACTCCTCAACCGCTGGGAACTGCGATTACCACCCGGAGGTGCCAAAGTGCGCGGTCCCGTAATGTCCCCGCTCGCGAAGGACGCTGAGATATACCGTCCGTTTCCTGTGATGAGGGAACGGTACGCGGCAGCACTGGACATTCGACTTCCCGCGTTTGCATCCGTGCGGTAATACCTCACCCCGCTGGTTGTTCCCGTTCCTTTGCCATGGAAACCGTTGCGCATCATTACATCATTCGTACGACCAAAGCGGTATGTGAGTGAGAAAGCATCCTGGTGGCCCTGCCACGAGGCGAGATGTGTCAGTTGTTTTCAAATGATCCCCCGGAGGAGCACCTGATAACTTCAATTCATAGTTCTCCAGACTAAGGTCAAAGTGTAGATATGGTCAAACGTGCATAGGGAGTTTCAGGTTTTCACGAATTTTTTCTCGGTGACAGACAAGCAATTAGGATGGTTCTCAGTTAATACGCTAGAAGGCTTTTTGTTTTATGCTTTCCGCAAGATGCGGCTAGAGTAAGTTTGTTTCGAGAGCAGCGGTTCGTTCTATCCTCGCGCGATAAAAGTTGAGGGCCCATATGATGTGCGAGGTTTCTCCCGGTGAACACTGTACACTAAGATTCATCCTTCATTCCACATCCCCACCGTGTCGTCTCATACGCATCTTCATGTGTCATTCTGCATTCCAGGGGTGGTGGGTTTGACGGTCCTATTTTTGTCCCCATTAACATTGCCGAGCGCGGTCTGTCTTTCCCCTTATTGTGATAAAACTTATTTCGAATAAAACAGAGTCATTCTCACGGCGGTCCCACCTTGATACACCAATTTATGCGCAGCATTTGACAAAATGGTGCCGAATGTATTTCTACGAGGAAGAAGGACATGGGCTGTGTCGGGATTCCCTCACTATAATTATTGACAAGTTAAGGAACGCAGGGCGGGGTTTAGTCCTACGCACACTATTAACTCTCCGCAGCCAATGGGATTGCCGCATCGACCGATAAGAAGGGCGAAGTAAGCAAGATCACGAAACACGAAACATGATCCTTTTAGGTAACCTTTTACGGTGACCATCTGGGGCTGACCACGAGCCTGCAGTGGAGGCCAACCCCAGGATTACAATGGTGACTGCTGCTGACAAACTTGCTTTCTACTTTTGTTTGTCTTCGTCATGTATGACGCAGGCGCAGCAATTTACAAAGTATTGCACACGTCGCTGGGTCTTACGAGAGACAAACTCGAGTGAAAGCTGAACTCAAAATCAATCCAACAATCGCTAATCGGCGGTAACCGCTGATTAGATGCCACTCACCAGTCTTGTAGGTGGGAACAATTTTACGAATTTTTCAGACTCAAGGAATTTTAGAAAGGCTCCGTGACTGTGAGACTATACAGGGTGTTTTCCGTAAAAGTGAAAAACAAATCCTTAATTTAGTGTATTTCAGGTGAAAGGATAATTTTTTCGGGACCGCATTACTACAGCCTCCTCTATACTGAAAAAGCCTGGCAGATCGCCACGAGAAGCGGCCGCCGAAAGTGAAAAAGGTAGACCGGCAGACAAGAGGCACGTACTCTCTGCGTCCCGCCCCGCTGCGACGAGACGCCGAAACACACTTGTCCCGAGCGACTTCTCGCGTTCTTCGGGCCAGAGATGGCAGTAATGACATTACTGTAATCAAAATACAGTAATTAAATACTTCTTTGGGGTAATGAGTAATGTAATGAATTACTTCTCTAGGCTAGTAATTTAGTAACGTGATGAATTACTTTCACGCGGTAGTTTCGATAAAATTACTCATTACTTTTAAAATTACTTTTGTCCTAAATAAGGAAATTCGTTTGCAAGCTTTAAGAAAGAAGATAAAAATTATTTCGTACGGTGAAATGTTGTGAAAGAGCATCAGAGGAAATAATCGAGAGCCACCTGAGCGCAAGGCCTTGTACGAAGAGTTAGACAGAGGTACAGAGGAGGGCTGGAAAGGCGAAGGAGCAAATCTTGCGTGTAGACATCACTGAAGGCAACAACTTTTAGAGCGCAGCTCTTAGGCGCCCGTTTCCGGCTTGAGCGGCGTCGGCGTCGCCGTCAGCGTAACCGCGCAGTGCATTATGGGTAAATTTACCGGCTAAATTTAACGGAAAAATTTCCCCGCTAAATGTAACGAAAAAATTTCTCCGCTAAATTTAGCGGAAAAATTTCCCCGCTAAATCTGGCTGGAAAATTTCCCTGCTGAATCTAGCGGAAAAATTTTCCCGCGAAATCTAGCGTAAAAATTTCCCCGCTAAATCTAGCGGAAAAATTTCCCCGCTAAAGCTGGTGGGAAAATTTTCCCCGCTAAATCTAGCGAAAAAATTTCCTCCCTAAATCTAGCGGCAAAATTTCCCCGCTAAATCAACCGGAAAAAAGTTCCCCGCTAAATCTAGCGGAAAACATTTCCCCGCTAAATCTAGCGGAAAAATTTCTCTGGGGGGTCATGTGACCCCCCGAGGTCACGTGACCCCCGTGGTCACGTGACACCCAAGGTCACGTCACCCCCCCCCCCCCCCCCCGAGGTCACTGAACCACCCCCCCCCCCCCCCCCCCCGAGAACACGTGAACCTCAGTACCCTTCCCTCCTCCTCCTCAAGAGCTGCGCTGTAATTCGGCGTTACAGGGAGTTGTAAACGCCTTTCATTTTTTTTAACCTTTTAAATCACTGGAAGGCAACGGCTTACGAACTCCAGGCACCGCAGATTCACGTCGCGTCATCACGACGATACTATACTTCGTTCACCCCTAAGCTGACAGTGTTGTGAGAGCTGCAAGATAACCAGAACCAATCAAGCACCTTCTTTTAATCAAGTGTCCCGTCCCTTCTCTGCGTGGGTATGCGTGGGTATGAACGAGAGCGTGGCTACGTGGCAAACGATAGACATGTGACTGTTCCAACAACCACATAGCTTTTACCGTTCATTCCTAAGCTGACAGTGCGACAGCTGAAGGATGAACGGCTCATAGGCTACAAGGTGACGGGCACATTACCAGTGAGCTAAACATAATTTAAAATCTGAGAGGACACGACGAACAGACGTACTTTCGTCAAGCAAGGTCAAACCGTAAGCTTCGACCATTGTGAACAAACGACCGGAATAAATAGTTAATTCCAAATGCCTTGTCAAAGCCCCAGAACGTTTCGTGCGTCCTCGAGCAAAGCAGGTGCCGCTCGCGGTATGCCTCGCTACCTTCCCTTGGCAAGTTTATTTGCGAATAAGCCTACAAGCAGATATCGCCCCCCGTTTGTTGGGAACGTACACAATTTAGGAAGCTCGCGCCATTGCCCAACTGGCGACAGTTCTGCTTAGCAATTATCCGGGCCCTTTGTGTGACAATGCGCAAAAGCTTGGACTCCTAGGGTGTTTTGGGAAAAATGCTCCTTGAAAGGAATGACCGAGAACGGGTCAACTATACTCGGTGATAACTTTTCTTGGCAATGCAGGCACGCGTTCCCTCTCCCATTTTGAGTGCCGAATAAAGCTGTGCGCGGGCTCTCCTCCTCTCCACTGCATTGCAAAGAAAATTTATCGCCGAGTATACTGCTCTCTGGAGAATAGGATTAGATTGCGTCCGGAGGCGGAAGGGAAACGTTTCACGTGACGATTCCTTGTAACAACGAGATGCCATTGCCCAACTTAACAAACTGACATGGACCACAACTTCTAAATCAGGAAGACGGAAACATATCACCTTTAAGAAAGAACCTTCACCGTTGAATGAACAGCGAAACCGGTGAGTCGACTGTCAGAACAAAATGTTTAGCTGGGCTTGTTGGCTCATGACTGGAAAGCAGCGCCAAAGGAACGGGGACAGGTCTGAGTCTGGACTGTCTTCGTGAGTCACATCTAATGAAGCTATTCATCATGTTTAACACTTATGTTGTATGCACCAGCAAAACCACTGTTCAGTATGGTTCACTTTGAGGCGCATAATGTTGTTGCGGAGAAAACAGGATGATCTGAGTTTCGGTACATAAAGACCAGGGGTCTCAAACTCATTCAAGTGTGGGGGCCAGATTGCCCACCTTGAAAAGGACGAGGGCCCCTTCCCCCCTCCCCCTCTCCGTTGGCGCTCGTCCTTTCGGGGCAATGTTTTGCTATTTTGGGACAAAATATAAACAAACAGCAGTGTTACTTCACGCTGCAAACGTCGATTGTCCCAGTAACACCTTATAGAGTTTCTAGAAAAGGAACCTTGTCCTCTCTTCTTTTTGTAAGTTCACCGTTTTTCCATCTTTGGCTTTCAATTGCGTTTATGACTACATTGGGCGTACGCCTGATGTTATAAGAAGATTTAAATACGAACGTACTAACGGTGTTCTATAGACTGACAACAAGCACACCGTGCTTGACCTGTCGCACAAATCACTAAGCTCAACAGGCATTAAAAAAAAAAATCTCGATATGGCAGTTTTTTTTCCTCGGGATTATTTAAGCACCCATTCTAAAAAAATACTTCTATTTTAAATGTATTTCTTTCAGCTAGAAGCCCGAGCTCATAGCTCTATCTTCGGCAGTTGCTTTTGCTGAGCAAGAGTTTGTGCAGTCGAGGTGCCTCCCTGAGCAAAGAGCTCGCACTTGTGGCCTAGTAGTGGTACTGCCGTTCCGGCTGATTTACATGAGGAAGGACCAAGAAGCAAATATTTAGGTAAAGTAGTACTCCGTTCAAAAGAAAACAAAATAGTACAAAATGTGTTAAAGGAATACTGAACCGAAATTTGGATTTCGCAAAGTAAGGCTGCAGAAGTGTTGAACGGGACGCTACGAACTCCAAAACATCACTCGTACATCGATATCTCAAACGGATGGCCGTACTTTTGGAAAAAAGGGGCGCGATCAAGCGAGTTCTTTGACGTAACTGTCCTCCGGGAGAATTTGAGAATGAGGAGAAGCGGCCTTGCTTCTCTCCTCCTCGCTTCGGTTCACCAGCTTGACGGGACGTTGCGAGGAGGAGAGAGAATGGGAATCGTAACGTGCCTTGTCTCGTCGGCCTCGTCGGCCGAGTTCAATCGCGCAGTTCTTTTCCAGAAAATACGGCGATCCGTTAGATATATCGCAATACGAGTGATATTTTTTGGTTTTGCAGCCGCCCGGCCTTGTTTAGTGAGCTCGAAATTCCGGTTCAGTATCCCTTTAACGTGTCATATGAGCAGAGCTCTTTTTCAAGCGAAAATGAATCGACAATATAAAACTATTATTAATGGTGCTCGAGGCATGGAAGCGGGAGCTCGGCTCCGCGCGAGGCTTGCGGGCCGCATCCCAGAGAGTCGCGGGCCGCATGTTTGAGACCCCTGATATAGACCAACTCAGGCACGTAGCCAGGATTTTGATTCGGGGGTACCCGCCCATGACAAAATCCTGTATGAGGGGAGGGGGAAGAGGAGGCCCCATCAAAATGGAAAATTTGGGGGGGGGGGGGGGGCCATGCCCCCCCCCCCCCCCCCCTGGCTACGTGCCAGGCACCAACTCAGCTTTTTGACGTGAAATCACTGCGGTGGCGCTGCTGTCGGCAATGTGAATGCGCAGCGCCTCGCTTCTCCCAGGTCTGGTTCCATTACTCGCGCTGTGTGGGCCAACGAGGGTTTGTTTTGTAAACACTGTGTTGGTGCATACAGTAAATAAAATGAGCGCGAATTACTGCCTCAAGGTATTCAAAAGTAATGTCAAAGTAATTTCATTATTTCTGGAAAGTAATTGTAATGTAATGTCATTACCATTAGTCTGTGGTAATTTGTAATGTGATTTAGTTACATTTTTGCAGTTTTCAAAACACTGCCATCTCTGCCTCAGGCTACCGCTTCTTTTCCCGGCGAGTTTAAAAACTATGTTTCGGGTCCTCGCCGCTGCAAAAGCTGTGCGCTGAATACCAGACTCGCCGAGAAATGCTCTG